GATTATTTTGTGTTGGTCTCTATGCACAGAAAACACTGCCAATAAATATTTCTTACTGAGAAATGACTTGTTCACAATCCAGACTTTCCTGATTTTTCCAAGCACACTTGGGAAGAGTGGAAATTCAGGATTAAAATCACCTGTGTGTTTTTCCTCTGTGCAGAACTAAGCCAGTTCCCTGTCAAATGAGAACAAGGCTGGGACCAGTCGTCCCATAGCATCTTTGTGGCATTGGTGAGGGCAGAGCAAGCATTCATAGAATCGTAGAATTGTTAAGGTTGGAAAGACCATTAAGTTGAACCACCAACACATCCCCACTGTGCACACTCACCACATCCCTCAGTGCCACACCTACAAGGTTCTTGAACACCTCCAGGAACAGTGACTCCACCACCTCCCTGCTCTCCCTGTGCTACTGCCTCACTGCTCATTCTCAGAAATTTTTCCTAACACCCATCTTGAACTCCCTGATGTTCCTCCCTCAGTTGCAGAGTTGGTGCCCAATGAGCCTCCTCAGCCTCTCCCACTACCATGGGCCTTGCTGGCAACGGGACATGAAGGAGATAATCAGGAGCTTGTTTTGCTACAGCTGCTATTTGGCAAAGTGCAGAGCACCTGGTGGCTTTTATGTAATACATAATAAGTAACAATGCTTTAAAAATGAAGCAGCTTAAGGAGGGTTTATTGCATATAATGAAGGATGTTTCCTTTTTTCTCTTATTGATTGATGCTTTACACGTAGGCGTGTCCAGAGATGAAGAGTGAGGTTAGCAGCAAGAGCAGTATTTCCGGTGACACATCCATGCTTTACAAGCATGTTCTGTTCATGAATTTTCAGTAATGTGATTTGTAAAATTCACCACCTTTAGAATAATCATTAAAAAAAAAAAAATCCTAATCGTAACATAGCATTGGAAAGGAACAGAAAAGAGAATGTTTTGCCCAGAGCTAAGTCATTAGGCCAGGATTCAGGTTCAGATGTGACAGCCTCGTATCTCTGGAGTCCACTTTCACCCACAGTAGAAAACATACAATATGTGTTACTTGGAAGAGGCACCACATTGGATGTATTAAGATCTAGCAATTTGAATTTGTTTTCTTCTACCTTCCTCTGGATGAGAAATTTGCAGGTGTTAGACTTGAGGTGCTATGTTTTTGCATGATTAGCTGTTGTTTTCTTCCTGCTGCTGTGACAGAATTTAAAGTAAGTGTATTAATTATCAGATGGCTCCCCATAATATTCGTCTGCTTGGTTTTTAGTGACTGTATTTGAATAATTGAGTTGACTTTCTGCTGCTCCCAGTACATCGCCTCAAGTCTATTGTTGTGCCTACATCTTTCTTTTTCATTTAAAATCGAGTGCAGACATGACCTGAAGATCCAGTTTTGTAAGATGCTCGGAACCATGAAGGCACTATCGCTCTCCTACAGACCACACAAGAGAAAACCAGATGGTGGCCTGTGAAAGAAAAGCTTCTTCTTCTTCTTCTTCTTTTTTTTTTTCTTTTCCTTTTCTTTTTATTCTTAAAGATGGAAAAATGAGATGAAGGTTCACTATCTGTTTCATTTTCCTTGGAGTTTAGGAACACACCTACTCCCCTTTGGCATTTTATATGACAGTGGATTGTCTTACAGGATATGTTGTAATGAAAGATTCTGTGGCTGGGGCTGTGATGTATATATTAACTGGATTGATTTAGGTGCAGTGACAGGATTTTCTCTCTTTATTCTGCTGTGCTGATCCAGTCTGTAGGGCCCCAGATGTAACAGCAGCTTAGTCAGTGGATTGGGGAGAAGAGAGAAGGATCTATACGCATATTTTCTCATCTCCCTGCTATGGCAGTTTTCTGACAGTGTGTTGGTAGGCGTTTGATCTGGTCTGACTTCAGGTGGTGCCAGCAGTGGGAATTCCACATCTCATGTTCCTGCCACCAACTCGGAGGCTCTCTCAGAAGAAGATTCTGTTAAATCTCCGAATACCAGAACCTCTTTTAAAACCAGCTGCTATTTTAGAATAGACAAAGCCCTGGGGATCAGGACTGCTGCTATTGCTCCACTCAGAGAAGGGCTCAGCTTTTGTCATTATAAGAAAGATCATGGGTCCAGAAGCACTGTGCAGTAACTCCCTTTTTATTATTTTATCTACAGGTTAGATATGAGTTGAAATATTTTGGCTTTCACAGTAAAAATACACCTAAGCACAATGTTCCCTGAAAAGACAGCAAATGTTGATATAGCTGAAGCATGCTGAATTGCAAACATTAGGGAAAAAAAAGGAATAAGAGTTACATAAACATGCAATGTGTTTAATTTGTTTCTAATCAAAACAAAACTACTTGTCTTACTGACAGCAAACGGATGGAGAAAGAGATCTTATTCAAGAGGATAAGCTATGTGGCCAGCTTGTGGGGGAATTCAGAGACAGTTGGCAAGATAAGATGCTTCAGGAGAGATGCAGAACTCTGTGTGCAGTCTCTATGAGAGAGTGCAGAATGGCAGCAGCTCAGGGAGTGAATATAAAGGCCATATAAGGGAAGTAAATGGACTGCTGTAGAGATGCCATTAGCAAAGCAAACACTGACTTGGGGACCTTGGCATATACCATGGAAGAGATAAATTGCATGAATAAATGCATACTTGTTTCCTTCTCCCTAGATTTACAAAGTCAGATGTAACCTAGAAACTGTTTACATGTGTGAAACAGAAGTTTTTCTGTAGTCATTTTAACACCAAGCAATTTCTACCCCAGCCTAATCCTGGTGTGCTTAATTTAGACACATCTACGTTGTTTTATTATAACCAAGGCCTTGGGCTAATGAAAGAACACCAAACTGGTTCTTTATGCAATTCCAAATTTATGACAATATTCTCTCCTTCTCTCTCTTCATGCCAAGAGTGCAGTTCCCATGGTGGTAAAAGGGAAGCAGGAGGAGAAATACCTGAGCCAGGCTCTGGCTGGAGGCACAAGAGTGGTCAGCATGCAGACACTCGCAGAACTGGAGCTGAGCACTGGGGCATTTTGTGGTGGAGGCCTGGAACCGTGCAGAGCTGCTGTGAGAAGAGGGTGCTAGGAAGGCATGCTGCAGAGCAGGCTCTGCTTCTCACCACTGGGACAGTCACGCACCCTATGGGCACAGCCATCTTCATGTTCTATCTAGCGTTGCTCACTTTCAGGATGAGTCTCCAGATCATCCTCTGCTCAGCCACGTTTTGTTTTACCCAGCAGGGATGAGTGCACAGGGCGGATGCTATTCAGATGACATTGGACAAGAAGACAAGGCTTTAGAAGGGCATCTAATGGGTCTTGAGTGCTAGAGACTTAGGCTAGAACAAATCAAAAGAAAACCGTGTGGAAACACAGGAATATCCATCAGGTCTTCAGCACCAAAAGATATGCTGAACAGATTAGGCAGGAGGGTAGAATAATATGATCTTCAAGGTATGTTCCAGCCCAAAGCATTCTGTGGTTCTGTGATTGGGTCAGGCTGATCAACTCTTTGAAAGGGTAGATAACAGCAGGACGAGGGGAAATGGTTTTAAGTTGAGGGAGGGAAGATTTAGGTTGGACGTCGGAGGGAAGATCTTTACAGAGAGAGTGGTGAGGTGCTGGAACAGGCTGCCCTGTTGTGGATGCTCTGCCCCTGGACATGTTCAAGGCCAGATTGGATGGGGCACTGGGCAGCCTGGTCTAGCATTAAATGGGGAGGTTGGTGGTCCTGCATGTGGCAGGGGGGTTGGAGATTTCTGATCCTTGAGGTCCCTTCCAACCCAGGCCATTCTGTGATGGGTAATCTCTAATACTTGCCAACACAGACCCAGCCTTTGTGTGTGCAGCTGGGGGGCTGTGGTTGTTTTGGGAGTATGCCTTCATTGCCTTCCTTGCAAAGCACATCACTACACACACCTTCTAGCACCAAAGCCATATTTCACAGAATCACAGAACTGTAGGGGTTGGAAGGGACCTCTGGAGATCATGGAGTCCGACCCTCTGCTAAAGAAGGTTCCCTACAGCATGCTGCATCCAAAACAGAATCACAGAATATTTCACCTTCTTTTATTTGAAACACTTTTATTCAACCTTCTTTTATTTGAATCACTTTTCCTTAAGGAATATGCTTGAAATGATAGGATGGAAAACTAGATTTTGCTAGATAATTCTCAATCCATTTTTTTGTCCGTTGAGAAAATACACATTTCCACTAATGTTCTGATTTTAAGACTTCACATTACAGGGCAAAAATAGTCTTTTTTAAAAAAACAAAACAAAACACCCATCCAATAAAGTGGCTTTGTAATTTAGTTTTGAACATGACTGCTGTTACTACTAAATGGTGTAAACACAGACTGAGTGCAATAAACCCTGCTTCCATTTAGCATTAATAATATTAATGATCAGTGCTTAAATCACACGCGATGTTCTAGGACTGTAAAAAAAACATCACCAAAGAGATTTTCCCTGTCTGGTGCCGACATAATTTAAACTCGGCATAAAATTGTCTTCTGTTGGAGGGAATCTATTGGCGCTGCAGGGCGGGGAGGAAGCAGCAGAAAGAGGAAATCTCTCTCCCAGCGGAGACCATCCCTCCTTACAACCCCTCCCCAAAACTTTCCCACTCCAGACCCCGGCCAAGGCCTGGGGGTCTTCCTCCCGACCTCCCCCAGCCGGAGGAGCTGCTCGGTACTCCGCTCGCATTGCCCCTCGCTGTAGCACAAACTGTCGGAAGCAAATCGCTGGCTCAGCAGCTCGCATGCACACACACAGACACACGCACTGCTCACACGCACACCACCCGCTTAGCCCGTATTTTCCCATGTAAAGGCTGCAGTCTCCCCCCCTCCTCCCCGCCACCCTCCTCCCCGTTAACCCTCCCTCCCCGCCGGCTTTTTCCCCCTCCCCTGCCCTCGCCCCCACTCTCTCCCTGCCGCCCCCAGCCTCGGGGCGCCAGGACTCGCCCCGGGACCCCCAGCCCCGCCCCGGGACGCCTCGGGGAGGTTCCTCCCGGCCCCTCGCCCCCGGCCCCGGCCGCGGCGAGTCCCGCCCGGGGAGGCGGTGGCGGGGGAAGGGGGAGGAGAGGCGGTGGAGCGCGGTGCCTCCCGAAGAATCAGACGTGCAGAGAAGGGAGGGAAGGACGGGCCGGGGTGGTGCGGGGAGGGTCCCGGTGCCGGTCCCGCCCGCGTCGCCTCCGCTCCGGGACCGCGGCGAGAGTCGCTTGGGGCGGCCGCCACACGCCGGCTCCGCAGCCGGGCCCCGCGCCCATGTGCTGCCGGCACCCGCGGCGGCAGCCCCAGCGCCCGGCGTGCGAGTAAGTATCCCGGCTCCCCGCGGCTTCCCCCGGCCTCCCGCGCCCCTCGGAGCCCGGCCCTTCTCGGCTACATCCCCGCTCCGCTCGCTCCCCGCACCGCCAACCAGCAGCCGCGTCCCTTTCCCGTTCCACCGAACTCTGCAGACCCCCTTCTGCTCCCGGCTCCCCGCACTCCCTTTCCTGTCCCGCATCCCCTTCCCCTCCGGGGCCCCCGTCCTTCTCGGATCTCCCCACTACTCCGCACTCTTTCCGCCCCTTTCTCCCGTCCTTTTGCTCCCCTACTCTCCCCTATACCCTTTCCCGTCCCTCCGCAGCCTTCCCCTCGCATCACCCCGGCGAGTTTCACTTCCCGGCCCCCGCTTTCCCTCGGGGAGCCCCGGAGCTCTCGGCCGCCCCCTCCTACCCCGGAGCGGAGGAGCGGGGTTTTGGGGCCGGAGGGGCGATCCCACGCCCCATAGAGAGTGCCGGGCGTGGGCTGGCAGCGCTGGGGGTGCGGAGCGGAGTTACTGCCCCGCGGGTTGGAAGGGTGCTGTCCGTGTATCCACCCCGATCTCGTCCGCTAGTTGAGGGAACCATCTCCCCCGAGTGCCGTGACCCACTTTGCCGGAGACGTTTGGTGAAACGCCAAGACGCGGGCGGGTCCTTCCCCGGGAGATGCCTGAGGAGGGATGGAGGCGGCCCGTGCTCCGCTCCAAGTTTCTGTCCCCGGGGTTAGGGCTCTGGCAGGTTGGAAGGCGTTCCTGCAGATGGGCTGTGTCTTCTAGGAGCTGAGCGTATGGCTTCTCTGCATCTCGGGCCTTTCTCAGAGTTATGGAAGAGACTTCTTTCTTTTTCTTTTTTTTTTTTTCCCTCAGTGTTCTAAAAGTAAACAAAAGTTTCGTGTGGTGCACACACTTAATTTCACTTACAGGCACTGTCTCTGCATTCCCTCCTGGTGCAAAGGGAGCTTTAATTTTATTGCCTGCACATTAATTGAGTTCACTGATTGGTGTCTAATCACGCTTAGAAAAAAAAAGCCCTTGTAAATAGCCATCAGAATTCATTTATAGCAACTGTGAGAGGTGATCATAAATTTACAGACACAGTTGGAGCAGCAATCCAGGATGGATTTAACAAGAAATATACCCCAACCTCTGGGAAGCAGCTTTCCTGAAACAGGCAAGCGTACCACAGAGCTGGGAGGCTGCAAGTTGTCCGGGAGCAGCATGATCTAAAGGTGCTGGGTTTGGGGTAGGAATAGGCAAAGAGGTTTTGTGTTAATGAGGTTTACTGCTGCCATGAGGGTCTGGGACTGAAAAGCTGTAGGCAGTGTGAATGGTTTGCACGGAAACTGTGAGGCCATGCCTAAAGCACGTTTCAGGAGGAGGGATGAATGAGACCTCGCCTTTTTCTCTATCAGCACAGGGAAGGTGAAGACGTGCAGGGGTGAGAGGTGAGCAGGGAAGCCCTGGCAGGGCTGCACAGCCCACATGCCCACGCTGCCCCCCCATAGTGATGCTAGTGGCTGCAGGAATGGGGCAGAGATGTATGATGTCTTCATGAGAAGTGCTGGAAGAAGGGAAGATGCTCTGGCAGATAAACTCTTCTAATGTCCATGTTACTGAACTTGGCTTTTTCTCCTTTCTGTTATTTAATCAGGGACCTTTGTCTTCATGATGGGAGGAAACATCCCCCTGGCTTTTAGGATCCGAGCTTCTCCTGTTGTGAGGATTTGCCAAGGCTGAGAGACTCTGGATTATCCCTAACGTTCTAAAATACAGAGGGGCTTTCTGTCTCTCCATTGCGAGGGGCTTGGTGCAGACGTGAAGATGGCCTCCAGCCTCACCTGTGCCGGCGTGGTCTGGGCCTTCCTCTCCTTCCTCTGCGCAGCGGCATCCTGTGTGGGCTTCTTCATGCCCTACTGGCTCTTGGGGTCTCAGCTGGAGAAGTCGGTTTCCTTTGGCACTTTCCGGAGGTGCTCCTACCCGGTGAGGGATGAGAGCCGCCAAACGACCATCATGGTGGAGCAGTGCGGCCGCTACGCCTCCTTCCAGGCCATCCCCAGCACCGAGTGGCGGATCTGCACGGTGGTGACGGGCCTGGGCTGCGGGCTGCTGCTCCTGGTGGCCCTGACGGCCCTCATGGGCTGCTGCGTGTCTGAGCTCATCTCCAGGACCGTGGGCAGGGTGGCAGGAGGCATCCAGTTCCTGGGAGGTAAGTGCTGCCTGCTTGTGCTGCGGTGTGGATCTTCACACTTAATTTGTATGGGTGTGGAGGCTTTGGGAAGAGGAAGGTATGAGGCAGACCACTTGGCTTGGCCACTTGACCACTGAGTGGCTGTCTGAGTGTCTGAATGTGGCCAAAGGCTTGCTCACCTATGGCCGTTCTTGCACTGAGCCCCATGCCTGGTTGTTGGATGACCTTTGAGAGCTACCTGAGAGGTTCAGCTCACATTTGAGCTAAAGACAAGGAGGGAATGTTTATTCCTGGTAGAGGAGGCGTGAGGAGGAGCCCTGCCAGGCTGCTGGCTCCATTCTGCCCGGTGGGGTTAGTGGAGGCTGCGGTCTAGACACTGCGTAGGAGAATCACCTCCCATTCTTTTTTTAGCCTGCGAATTGTATGGCTTTAGCCGTGGAGTGTTTGAAGGGTATGAGACAATAAGCAGGATCCTCTGGCGTGTTTTTTATAGGGCTGTTTTCCCAGTAAATCATCACTCTCCCCTGTCATCAGCAACACAGGGCTCGGTGGCACTCACTGTCACCTCATGCCACTTGGTGTACACTTGCCTCCATTTGGGGATGAGTTTATCTGCCCAGGTTACAGCATTTGGGCAGTCCTTCTGGGCCCATTTCCTGCCTTTCTCCCCCAAACTAAGGTGCACCCAGATAGGACAGTGGGCTCCCATCCCACATGCAAGATGCAAACACAGCTGGGGTGCAGCTTAGGGGACACAGCTGAGGCCCTGTAAGGGACCTGTGCCAGGCCTTCAGCTGGGCAGTGTCAGCGTGGCTCCCCGCCGGCTGCCAGGAGCCCTGGCTCTGACTTTTGGAGCATTTTCTGCACTTTAGAGCAAACTGACCCTGTCACTTCGCCCTTCCCTCAGCGTTGCATTCCTGTGTTTAATCTGGCTGACAATTTGAAAATGCAGCAGCTGCTTGAGAGTTAACTCTGCTGGAAGCTGCTGCTTCAAGAAGGCTGCTTCATTATAGAGCTCCGGTCAGGCAACGAAGGCGTGGAGAGGGTTTTCAATTCAGCAAAGCTCTGTGAGCCCACGCGGCCTGGCTAGTTTCACTGAGAGCCATCACAGGCTCTGCTTGGGCTTTAACCACCCCCTCCTTCCAATTGCTGCTCTGCTCATCTGGTTTTAATTTGTGTTTGGTGGTGCCGCATGCCTGGGTCTGGTTACAGCCACCATAGTGAAACATGGTGGGGCGGACGGACGGACGGACAAGGGGACTTGGGAGGTGCTGGAGATCTTCACTGGGATGTCAGAGTGGGCCTTAGATGAGGGCTTTTCTCCCAGGTGTCCTCCTGCTTAAGGAGAACCCTTCAGACTGTGCCACGACCACTCATGTAACCACTCTGCATCCCTTCCCTCTAGAAGGGAGTGAGCATCTCAGGAGGTGGCAATTCAAACATACGTAAACCTGTGATAGGAAATGAAAATTGCCAGCAACTTTACTCACAGTTTAGAAATTATTTACACAGCACGTCCAATTTTCCCCTCTACTGGGTTTTATGGTTGTTTCTCATTTCACTCAGCGCTGCTGGAAATGTGTAAGAAATGAACAAAGTGAGAACCCATCATTTCTTAACCTGCTTAAAAACTGTCTGTGGGGATGTCAGAGAGGGGCCAGGTGGCTGAAGCCAGTATTTTGGCTGATCTGAAGGCACGTATGAGGGTAAAGATCAGATCCTTACATCCTTCACCAGATCTTCATCTGCTATTGATCAATACGGCTCCATTGTTTAAATGACATAACTGCATTTACACAGATGTTGACATTAGGCATTATAATCATTAGGTTGTTTTAAGTCAAGCCATGAGCTGTTGGGGTTATTTGCTATACAGGAATGTGGGTCTTTGTTCCCCATACAATGGTTATAGGTTGAGGTATATACCATGAGGTGTGCTTTGACTATGGCTCAGTGGCACTATTGTGATTTCCACTTTAATTGGCCTCCAGCTGGAGATCTAGCCAAATATAACCCTCACAAATATTTTTATTGGGGTTAAAAGAACCTTCTACCATTATTATTATGAAGGAAAAGCCCAGGGAAAAATAAACAGTGCACTGAGTGTTGCCTTTAACTCATGTTCTGTTCCGTTCCTTTCCCTGCGTTTGGGCAAGGAGATGAGCAATGGTTTCACTTTCTGTTTCTTCTCATCCTGGTCACCTGCACCAACATAGCTGCTGCATTCAGTGGTAGAGGATGAGTGTTTGAATAAACTGTATTTTTCTTGAAGTTAGAAACCAGCGTAGGCATGTTCAGTGTAGCTGGATTAAAGTTATAATGGTGTTTCTTTTAGCCTAGGATCTAAGTAGGTTTCCCAGTGGGGTTTAAAATCATGGATTGATGAGGAGCTAAGCCAACTGAGAACAGGGAGGCCCGTGGGTAGGTGAGATGTAGGCTGCCCTATGAGTTGTTAAAACTCCTTCATCCAATACTGGAAGCATTTTTACTGCCATGAAAGGTGGCAGAGAGGCATATTTACCAGAGGTGTTGAGCAAACAGCCTGATCCTCTTCTTCCAGCAGCAACAAAGAGAGGGAACTCCAAGTAGGTCAGTGGAATAGCACCTGTGCAGAAGTAGTGCAGCTTGCACTAGCTGAACTGTGCCAAGGTTTTACAGCTGGGATTTCCCCAGTTGTATGTGGCAACTCACGCGAGGGAATTATTCATGAGTGCTTATGCCACAAATCTGCTCTTATCATAAAAATTGAATGTCAGAGCCTGCAAGAAACTGGTCCATGCAGACCCAGAATGACTCTTTAGATATTGGTTGTTTTTATGTACTTTGTATGTGGTATTTCAGACAATCCTGGCTAAGCAGCATACATATATTTTATGTTGACTCTGGGATATGCTGAGTTTATGTTCCTAGCAGAAAGGTTGCATCACAGTCTTTTCCATTTGCAATTTTAGGAACCACTTCCTTTCCCATGTATAATCACGTGGCAGCACTGTAGCTGTTGCAGCAGTTGCTTACAAAACAGTGCTATCATTAGCTTCTTCTAAGCTTCTACTAAAGCACTTTGGGCAACAAGAAGTACCCCAAGTCCAGCCACTTCTTCAGTGGTCAAACTGCTGCTGCAGTATCTCAACAAGATGCTTCAGGAGCATTTCTGTTGGATTGCTTTGACATGCTGACAACCCAGGTGAAAGTTATGCTGCCTGTAACCTCTTGAGGGCACAGTTATGTAGATAGATACAGTCTTGCTGGTAGCAGTTAAGTGCAGTGTTTCCAGCTGGTTTACTTTGAATGTTTGAAAGATAAAGAGATATGTAATGTAGCTAAAACAGATTGCAAGGATGCATCTTTGACCATAACTATTGAGGACACAACAGCAGGAAGTAAAGTTTAAGAAATCTATGGCAAATTAGAGTCCATAATTATTGATCTTCTTTTCATTGTATCTTGGCAAGTCAATTCTACTTAAGTGAGGAGACTAGAAATTTGCAGGTAGGCAGCTCAGATATGACATACTAATTTGGTGAATAGTTTCACTCTGCGAATGCAGAGCAATGATTTTAAGAGCACAGCAATAATCTGAAGAACATAATGAACTGAAAGGTTAGCCAGTTTTATGAGAGACAGCGGATTAAAAGATGCAAGTATTGCAAGGATGGTCAATTTAAAGAGTGTTATGCTGGCAAGGTGAAGCTTTTCATTAAAATGGTCAGTGCACAGGAATTATAGATGAAATTTCCACTTGCTCAGAACTCCTCTTGGCTCTGCAGGAGGGCTAAGACAAGCTCAGAGAGGTATGAATCCAGGGAAGCAGAGCATGCAGTGACCCGCTGACTTAGAGGCCCCTCTGAATCTGACTCTTTGGCCTTGATTTTGAGTGGCATATGAAAAATGAGCCCTTGGCATCATTGTGAGTAGCCGTGTGGCTTACACTGTCATCTTCAGTACTCATCACTTGCTGTGCAAGCAGCGCACAAGTTTTGCCAATCCTTTCAGTAAAGAAAGAAGCAGTACTTTCTTTTTCAATCCCCATTTCTCTATTTTGTTTCCCTTGTGTCTCATGGAAGCTCTAAAACTCCTGAAACTATGGTCCTTTAATTGCTGGTTAGAAAACATGGAGGGCTCTTGAAGTGGGCAGTGGTAAAAGGAGCATTTAGTTAGAGAAGAAGGGGATGAAGATTCTAGCAGCTTCTGATTTCACCTCAGGAAAAAGGTGGGGCCTTCTGGAAAAGGTGTCATACAAACTGCCCCAAAATTCTTATTCAAGTGTCCTGTGCCAATAGTGATCATCATAACAGTCACCTCTCACCTGCTTAGGACTGCTGTGTATGAAGGGCTGACTAATGTGGCATTTTCCATCAAGATGAACACTGAAGGTGGGGCAATGTGTTGTCTGTGAGGAACTCTCAGAAAAAACCTTGAGATTTTAAAGAGTAAAAGACAAAGGAGATCTGCTAGTTAGCATATTAACTGCAGGATGTGACTTTGCAGGTGAGAAAGTCAATGTCTAAGATGTAGAGGGTAGAAAAGAGAAGAGAACTAAACTCATAGCACTGTGGGACCGTATAGAGAAGCTATTCCTCAAAGGATGTGCTTGAGGAAACAGCTAAAGAAATAGGAGGGCCTCTTGGAAGAGATGGAGTCTGTGAGCCTAAAGGACAAGAAATGTGGCTTGCAGCCAAAGGCAGGGAGAATGAAGGCAGCCTTGGGTCTGAGATTAGCTCAGGAAAAGTCATTAGGGGCTTTGGTGAAGGTAGCTGCAGATGACTACCGAGGCTAGAAACCGTCAAGGGAAGGAAATGAACTGCGGGCAGTGACCAGTAAGCATTATTTTGTCTGACAGCTGCAATGAGACTTTCTGCTTTCTGCGTGGAAGACTAAGGTCAGGATCATTTTCTGCCTATGGGGAGAGAGCGTAACTGGTAAAAAATAACAGGGAGAAAATGAGCCTTGGTGGGGGCAGGAAAGATGGCCAAGAGACTTCCAGGAAGGAAATGATTACCCCAAACCCATCTGGGGAG